CTGCTGCACTGCTATATAATTTATAAATATATTATGCTCACAGAGATGATTCCTAAATCAATTGAGATTATCACTTCCACTAACGTGAATATCCCTGATGAAACAAACATTACAGTTGCTACGTTGGCGTTTTGAGGTCTGAAATCCATGTTTTCAGTGTCCAGTTTAGGATACTGGAGAACAATAGAGATTTCTCATAGGCAACTCTCATAGGTTTGAATTTTGGATTCACAGAATTTTGACAGCTCAAGGGTGTGGTAAAAAATATAGAACTGCAGTGAATCTGATAGCTGATTTTATTCGTGGAAAGTAGCCAATATGGATGTCCAACTGAGTCTGCTTATGGAAGAGAGACTGAGCTTTCCTTTTTGGCACAAACAAGAAATAAGTGGGGAAGAAATGCTTGTTTGTCAATGCACAGAGTTTCTATTGTTCATATGGCAGATCCCATGCTTGCCCGCATTACCTCTGGGATGGGCCAAAAGGGAGCAAGAAAGCAGAACATATTCTTCAATGTTTCCTTTCTCTTTGAAGTCACAAGACAGGCAAACTAATAGACAGAATAGCAGCATGCTGGGAAAAGGTTGGGACAGGGTGGGTGAGGGACAGAAATATAGGGATCTGTCTGTTTCTCACAGAAATGCTATCTAAGTCTAGCCATATCTATGAAATGCAGAGGTGTCTGCATTTTGACTACCTTCTGCTAAATGTAATTATCGTTATTTACAGATAATCCTCAATATGTTGGAGCCTGCCCATTTCGGTTGCATGTCGTGACAGTTATAAAATAGGTTGGTCATGAGACTGACTGTTTTGCATCAGTTGTTAAGCAAACCAAGGGGTTCGCTGTGGGCGTGGCTTTGCTAAACACCAGAAGTGCTGGCAAAACCATTATAAAATATGGTCACATGATTGTGGGATGTTGGAAATGGCTGTGTTGTTGAGTGCCTGAAGTTTGGTCATGTGACTACAGAGGGATCCTGGCCATCGGGTCATAACTACCCCTTTTCGGATCAGTTGTAACATCAAACGGTTGCTAAATGAATTGTCATAAGTTGAGAACTAGCCCGATGCAAAGTTTGAAATTTGGAATGAATCTGCCCAATTCCCAGGGGACGATAGAGAAATTAATGTGAAAGGTATCAACTGAGATCTTCATTCCATACCTTGACTTCACCATAAGCAAGGAGTTTTACAAGGGGTCCCGTTGAATCTTCCAGTTTGTTTTCCAACTGCACCTTCTTTCTACTAAACAATTATGAAGGAAAGAAAGACGAAGTTACTGCAGAATGCTGTAAGATTAGCAAAGCTCAGGATTGCTAATTTCAAAAACATCTTTACACTTCTAACACAAATTAATTTTTGAGTGCAAAATATGTAACATAACATTTAAAATACCTTCGGCGGAATAAACTTGTCATTCTATTTATCAGGCAGCTGGCAAATGCTACTTCAAAGTAGAGCAAGTGTGAACAGAACTTTTTGTGTAATCACCAGTGTGATTATGATTTCATAAACTTGCTTTTATGGAACGTGTTGGAGAAAAAAAGGGAGTATTTCATTGTTTGTTACCTAATCTTCAAGCTAAATTTAATTCTTTATCTGCTTTTTTCTTTTTAGTAGAACCAGCAAAACAAACGAGGTTCCAGATGCAACAATAACAGAAATATTCAAAATGCATTTACTGAATTACCAGGTAGTCTTTGACTTATAACCATAATTGAGCCTGGAATTATGGTCATGAGTTATGCGGTCATTAAATAATCCGCCATGAGACCGTGCCTGATTTTACTACCTTGTTTTGTGGCATGCCACATGTTAAGTGAATGCCATGGTCATTAAGTAAATGCTATGGTCGTTAAATGAATCCATTTGATCAACTGGGTGCTTTATGCTGGCAACTAGAAAGCGACCACAAACCTGCTGAAAATTACAGTCTTTGGGCGATGGGATGTGGCAGACAGCGTAAATACAAACTGATTGCCAAATATCCAAAATGCAGTCATGTGTGTGTGTGGGCAGGCAACTGTCAGAACCAGATCATAAATACCTTTTGGGGGGTCTTTTGTAACTTTGAATGATTGCTAAGTGACCGGTCATTAAGTGAGGACTACCTGTATAATTCCAAAACAAACACTAAGCCGTGAAATAACAAAGAAACGATGGTTCCCACCAGCAGCAATTGGAAAGTGGTCAATAAGTCTTTATGACTTTGTAATTTCAGACTGAAAGAAGTTAGTCGATTAAAGCTAACAGGGCCTGAAGGCCAATGGTGTGAATTATTAGCTGAGACTCATCAGGCACGATGATGAAGTCTGACTCAGCTGCATGAAGAAGTAAGATAATAAAATCTCCAGTAATTGACTTGGAGGTTCAAAGCAAGTTAAATTTAATTTCTATCTTCATTCAGGGAGACTGCAGAGTTCTGGACACAGTTAGTCTAAGGTCAGTTTTAAAATGTGTCTAAGCGTGCTAGTAGGGAACTGGAGTTGCTCTTCCAATCCATCTGGAAATGTCAGGTTGAGAAAGTTGGTCTAGAAGCCCTTTAGATCCTATATGATATTCAGATGCAATTGCAGTGCCCATTCCATTATTGTCCATTGTCATCCAAGAAAAAGCTCAGTTCTGAAGATGCTTCTTGGATGAGAAGCGAAACGTCTTCAAAGAAAAACAAGAAAGTCCAGTTGCCTCCTGAAAAAGCATCTTTGGGATAACTATGACCTGGATGACTGAGAATCTTCATAGACATCCTGGTGTAATACTTTATGGCAGGGTGGTGTTTTTGTGGGTGTGTGTTTGTATGCTCCATTGACTTTAGTTGAGTGACTCCAAGTTCTGTTATTGTGGGAGAAGGAGGAAAAAAATCCTGGTTAACGCATTCTTGTTTAATGGAAAAAGAATAGGGGAAATGATAGTTTTCTGTAATAATTGGCAGCCTTCCGTCTTCTCTTCATAGAGTCATAAAATTGAAAGGGATGTCAGAGGGCAATTAGTTCAACAGCCTGTTCAGTGCAGGATCTGCTAGAACATCTGATAGAGATAACATCCAACCACTGTTTGAAGATTTCTTTTGATGGAGAAGTTTCCACTTCATATTGGTGGTCTGTTCTGCAAATTCCTCCTCCTGATGTCTAAATTGAATTTCCTTCTTGTAGTTTTAACCCATTGATTCTAATCATGCCTTCTAGGATGAGAGAGACTAAGTCCATTCCTTTTTCTATCTGACAACCCTTTGGATATTTGAAGATGGTTACCTTATCCTATTTTTAAAACTGGGAACTTCAGTTGAATAGATAACTTTCTCCATAGCTTAAACCGCCAGCAGTGGAATTGTTAGCATGTTTCTGCCTGATGTTTGTATCATGATCTTAAAAAGAGGATTCCTTGAATAAACTTTTCTTTTGATCAGTAGTTAGGCAGTGAGACTTTCTCCTAAAATCTGCATGTAGTGAGTACCTATTATTTCCCCAAGTATGTGTGTGTAAGTAGGATAGTTTTAGTGAGCAAGTGTTGGGATAGGAAATGACAACAAGAACTGGATCCAAAATGGTAGCCATTTCTTTTTCATAAGAGAAGAAGGAAAACTCGTTTGAATTTAGAATTAAAGTAGCTTTATACACAACCTTTTTCCCCTGGGGAAATTTACATGGTACTCTCTTGCTCATATCTGACCTAGAACCATCAGAAACCTTTGACATTTCACAGACGTATGTAACTGGGGTGGGGCAGGTATCAGAACTTCAAAAGCAGGTTGTAGGTCCCATTTTTAAAGTCCATCATTACTTCGAACAGTCACTAAGTGACGGTTGTAAATTGAGGACTACTTGTATTCTTAATTGACTTTAAGGGCTGAAGGTGGGTATGGATTAGTTTAATATTTCTTTTTTATTTTTGGAAGAAAATTGCTAAATATATAAAAGTAGGTTCTACTTTACATGGCTTAGAACTGAAGAAATAGCTTTCTTCACGATAAGTGCTTTTTCAGGAGGCAACTGGACTTTCTTGTTTTTCTTTGAAGACTTTTTGCTTCTCATCCAAGAAACTTCTTCAGCTCTGACTGACGAGTCAGAGCAGTCAGAGCTGGAGAAGCTTCTGGGATGAAAAGCAAAACGTCTTCAGAGAAAAACAAGAAAGTTCAGTTGCCTCTTGAAAAAGCATGATCTGGATGACTGAGAATCTCCATAGACATCTTTCTTCACCAAATACCTTGTGAAACTAGGATTCATTTGAAACAGACTCTAAAGCCAGCGTGGTTTGGGGGTTATGGTTATGGAGTCAGCCATGGAATCTCACTAGGTGACTTGGGCTGGTTAGTTAATCTAGTCAAATCCATCACACAGGGCGGTTGTGAGAATAAAATCAAAGGACGTTTTTGCAGAGCTCCTACCTTGAGCTCCTGCAGAAAAAAAACATACGTCTTAACAAATCAATCTAACAAATCAATCAATCAATCACATGCACTCTCGGCTGAAACTATCCCACAGAATTCTATTATGGATGAAATGAAAGATACTCCAGGTGGACCATTTTCAGCTCCCGAAGAAAAAGGAAAATAAAAATTTTCTAGTGTTATCTAGCCTAAACTGTAATGAAGATTTAGTATTAATATATTTTTATGATTTTCCTTGTCTCTGAAGCCTTATTTTCTATAGCAAAGATACCAGAACATCAAGCACAACAATAAAAACAAACTAAATCACAAGCTGAACAAGACTAAGAAATCCACAGCGGCAATAAAAACAGATGTCCCTTTGTGTATGAACACAAAATTCAGGGGCCCATTTAAAAAAAAAAGCCTGCTGCTAGGATGCAAAGAAGAGATTATATTCAGGAGGTAGAGCCTCCATCTATGGCTGAGGACTGATGGAGAAATTCGGTCAAAAATAGGGCAGAGAGCTTGTAAGTGGCTGGATTCAATACTGCATTCCTATGGGTCCTTAATGCTAAGTTCTGTTCTTTTTGTTCCTTCCTACTAATCTTCTTTTTCTCCTGATTTGCAGGTTCATCCAGGTCAGCATTATGACTGATGGGGACTATGACTATTTGATCAAACTCCTGGCCCTCGGGGATTCTGGGGTTGGAAAGACCACTTTGCTGTATAGATACACAGACAACAAGTTCAACCCAAAGTTCATCACAACAGTAGGCATCGACTTTCGAGAAAAGCGTGTGGTGAGTTTCTTCTTTGTGTGTGTGTGTGTGTGTGTGTGTGTGTGTGTGAGTGAGTGAGAGAGAGAGAGAGAGAGAGAGAGAGAGAGAGAGAAGCCTTCCTGAAGCTTCCACTCTCTCAAAAGAAATATTTTCAACATCTCAGTGAGACAATATCCATTTCCTTGTGTGGTTTTTGCCCTGTATTTTGTAGCCTTAACCTGAATTGTATGACATCTGACCAGTCCTTTCATTTAGTCCAAAACGGCATTTGTATATTGTTTCATCTCTTCCCAGTTTATATATTATCCTCTGTAATATATATTACAGAGCCTAACGATTAGGATGTGACAATGAGCAGATTCCCATTTGACCGGAGCTGTTTTGATGACCTTTTTTTCGCAGCGGTTATTAAACGAACCCAGTTGTCTTTAAGTGAACCTATTGTTCAGTATGGAGCATTTTTTTTTGCCAGAAACCAGAAGTTTCTGGCAAATTCATTGTAAATCATGATCATGTGACTGCGGGGCACTGCAAATGGCCATAATTGCAAGTTGTTTGCTGAGCATCCTAAATGTGGTTATGTGACCATGATGGGGGACCTGGGCAGTGTCAGAACTTCGAGACTGGATGATAAGATTCTTTTGGGGGAAAACATAAAAGATTTATGTTTCCTCCCAAAATATTCTTTTGAACGTAAGTCGAAGTCTACCTGTAATCAGTCTTTCTTATTAAGCTTTGATTTCTCCAGTACAGGAGATGGATAATCCATGGATGGGTTTTCTCTGTCTGCCTGCTCTTGAGACCAAGTAGCCAAAGCTTGACACGCCCCCACTTCCTGTGGAGTCCATTCTTAACTTGGTCTCTGCTCGGAGAAGACTCGTTTTGGCGTGGCTCTCAGCTTATCAGGTTAGACAAGAAATCCATTGATTGATTATCCCTTGATAATTGGCTTCCCCTTCCCAAAAAAAATTTTCCACCTATAGGAATTTAACCACAAAATTTTCTGGGGATCAGTCCTGATCTCAAACCTAAAATTAAAAAGGGGATTGGTGGGGAGGGAAATTTCCCCACAGATATCAGCCAGCCCCAGGGCTCTGGGGGGTGAAAAGGGGGGGAAGAAGGCATCAGCAGAGACTACTTGCTGAACCTTTTCCCCAACCACTAATTTTTCCTTGGGATCATCCCTGATCTTATATTAAAATTGGAAAAGGGGGTGTGGGGGGGGGAAACTCCCCACGGATCCCAGTCAGCCCCAGGGCTCTGGAGGTGAAAAAGGGGGGGGGGGAACAAAGGCATCAGCAGAGACCACTTGCTGAGCTTTTCTCCCCAACCTTCCAAGGGATTTTTTCCTCAAATTGGGGGAAAAAATAACAATCTCCAGGTCCGGATTCAAACTTGAATTCGGATCATCGGAGATTCCCTAGCAGCCCAGGGCAACCGCGGGCGCCATTTTAGTTGCCGTTTTCAGACAACAAAGGCAATCCCTGGCTGGGATTACCTTAAAACGTCACAGCGCGCCAAATTTAAATCCCCGGGCACAAGCAGCTTCTGGGAGGCTGCGGAGCTTATCTTCAGAGGGAAACGAAGCACAGGAAGGGAGTAAGCCCCAACCAAGAAACGGAGGCTAGAGAACCCTCCTGGGATCTGCAAAGCCCTTTTTCAGGGAGAAACGAGCTGTGGCTGCCATCTCTTGCAGAGAAAGGCAAACTGAGCTTAAGGAAGCTCTACATCATATCTGGAATCACTGATAGAGGCGGAATAGGAGCACACAACCAGCGCTCCACCCCTGATACACACATATAATAATAGGACAAAATATAATAATAATAAAAATAGATACATAAATTTTAAAAATAATAATAATAATAATAATAAAAAAAAATTTTTTTTTAAAGCTAAAAATTAAGCGACTGCAGGGCCAACAGGCCTAAAGACAGAACACACAATATTATCATCATCACCATTATTGTTGTTGTTGTTATTATTATTATTATTTTACTATTATTGTTGTTCCTATTATTAGTATAATAGTAATAGTATTAATAAGAATAAATTCCGCTCTAGGTGACCGCCATTTGATACCTGCTGTGTATTAAGTCAGGCCTACAGACCCTTTTGAGGTCGCCACTGATATTTTTTGCCTCCCTTTTCCTTTTTCTACTGGTGCACGTTGCCTGGTCACCTAAGGCCTCCGGGCGGAACCCAAAGAGTGGTTCCAAACGTGCCTTCGGTACCTCCCTCAGCTACCGTGACCTTAGCCCAGAGAGAATATTTTTGTTGTGGTCGGGTGATCAGGGGAACAGTCCTGGTACTTGTTCCAATTTCGCTCCCGCCAATACTTGCCTGCCTGAGCGTCTTCTCAGTTTTTCTGGGACTGCTCAAGCGGAATGGAGGGACCCTCGTTGCCTCAATCCATGAGCACGACCCCTCCACCTCCCAATTATGGCTACAACACACCTTTTGACCAGAAGGCGGCAGGCAAGTGCAAAGCGAAGACAAAACACTCGCTCAAGAGGTCCTCCAAGTTGGCGGAAAAGCAAGCCAGCCGTAGGCACCAGGCCCTGGAGAAGGAGTTCTCCAGAGCGCAGAGGCAGGCCCAATTGGAATTGGTTCAAATAGCGGCCACCGAGATGGAATTACCATTGGGTCCATCCACATCAACCCAGAGCGCGTGGTCCATTCCAGGAACACCGCAACCACTGGACCCGCCATCTACATCAGCCCAACAAACAACCACGGCGGCAGGCACAACCACTGAGTCCAACTCTCCACCTGCGGTCACCACACCCAAAGGTAATGACATAGGGGACATCTGGGCAGATGGACGGCTAGAGGCCCTATTAACCAAAGTGGTGGACCGAGCCCTAGCACAGCGCTCCGCCCACCACGACCAGGGGCCCTCCATCTCAGCCATGCCACACTCGGAACTCCCCTCAGAGTCCTCAGGCATTCAGGAACCCGTCTCCCCGGCCCAGTCCTCCATGAGTGGTTATTCTTCACCACAAGAGGAGGATCAACCTGGGATCTCTATGTCAGAGGATGAGGAACTTCCCCCTGAGCCCCCCTCAGGGGGATTATTTAATCCCAACCGCTTCCTCACGATACTACGCAAGGCCACAGCCATTGCGGACATGGGGACGGATCAGTTTTCTCAGCCGCAAGCGACACCGGCCACCACATCCAGACCCGTATTCGTAGAAAAGGTGACAACGCAACACCATATACCTTGCCCCGCCATTTTCCTGAAAGGGATCAAGAAGCCATGGGACTCTCCCGCTTCCTTCCCATCAGTGAGTGGTACGGACAAAAAATTATACAGCACTGCCACAGACCTCAATGAGGCCTTAGAAATTCCTAAAGTAGATGAAGCCTGGACCCCCTTGGTCTCCCAGACAGCCATGGCTGGGGACCTAGTGGAGGCCCTTAAGGCAGATGACAAAAAGTGGGAACAAGCCTTTCGCAAAACCCACCAGACAGCGGCATGGGCCATCAAAGCAGCCACCTCGGCCTCCTTTTTTGTCCGGGCCACCCTCATCTGGTTGCAACAACTACAAACCATAGTTCCTATGGAGGACATACGAACACACCAGGACCTGGCTAAGATGGTAGCAGCCACGGAATACGCTGCAGACGCAACGTTCCAATCGGCCATTTTTTCATCCAGATCCATAGCATCCAACATAATTGCCAGGAGAATGCTATGGCTAAAACACTGGCAAGCTGACACCAAGGCTAAGTGGCGGCTAGCGACCGCCCCTTACTCAAGCAACGGTCTGTTTGGGGAGGCCTTGGACCCCTATCTTGTAGAGAACAAAGACAAGCGGAAGGTCATGGCACACTTGAACAAAAGGTCAGACAAACGTACCACACCTTACTTTCGTAGGCAGTCCTTTCGTCAACCGACAACCACGCCTATCAGTCAGGCACCCAAGCCATTCACTCCCAGGCAGAACAAACCGTACGGCCGCCCCTACGACAGACCGGGGTTCCAGCCCAGACAACAAAACCAGTCGAGACGACCCTTTCGTGGAACGGGTCGTCCGTACCGGAAGACAAAATGACTCCTACATAGACCTACCCATTGGAGGAAGACTAGCTCACTTCTTCCACCAGTGGGAGCAGACCTCCACGGACAACTGGGTACTACAAACCATCCAGTCCGGGCTGTCCCTGGAGTTCCTGGTCACACCCCCAGACCGACTCATCAACTGCTCGGTCTCCAGGAACCCCACCAAACGCAAACTCATGCAGGAGGCCATCCAACACCTGTTGGACATTCAAGCAATAGAACCGGTCCCAGCGGAATACAGAGGCAGAGGATTTTACTCCATCCTCTTTGTGGTTCCAAAGACTTCAGGAGGATGGAGGGCAATCCTGGACCTAAAAAACCTCAACCGCTACATCACATACAAAAAATTCAAGATGCAATCCCTTCAGTCCATCCTGGGAAGCATCAGAGAAGGAGACTTCCTGGCATCGATAGACCTCACGGAAGCCTACCTTCACATCCCCATCCACCCAAACCACCGCCGGTTCCTACGTTTCTGTTACGGGGGAAAACACTTCCAATACAGAGCTCTCCCCTTCGGTCTATCTTCGGCACCCAGGGTATTTACCAAGATACTAGCAGCGGTAGCCGCCAAACTGAGAAAAATCCCAATACGCGTCCAATGTTACCTAGACGACATACTAATCCAAGCAACATCCCTACAGATAGCTCAGGCGGACGTAAGGACCGTCATTCGCGTCCTCCAATTACACGGATTCTCAGTAAACTTTCAGAAGAGCCAGACAGTTCCCTCGTCCAGGCTGCTGCATCTGGGGGCCATGATAGACACAACCAACTGTATGGTCTATCTCTCCCAAGACCGGGTGGCCGGCATCAGGGAACTGGCTCGCTGGGTTCACAGGCAACGTTCAGTTCCGATACTAACACTTTCCCAATTATTGGGCAAGATGGTATCGGCCATAGCCATTGTACCCTGGGCCAGGCTCCACCTACGGGAACTACAGTGGTTTCT